AATAAATGATGCTGATATAGAAGTATCTGTATTATATAACATACATTGTTAAATAAAACTAATGTTAGTTGTTTGCCAATCTCTTATTGCACAGTTTTTGCAAGATAATTTGTTAAAAGGTTTAGATTTTTGCTCATCTAAGTGAAAGTTTAAGTAACTGAATAATAATTGGTCCAGTTAGATTATTGATCAAAATGATCTTTAACTAATGAACAATACATTTTGCATATTTATAAAAAAATGCATTTATCTATTGCCTTGAGTTAAATTGTTTTATTTATTCTAGTCGCACATTTTGGCTGCGAGGTCAATTGCCTCGACGCTAAAGACCTCTTTGGGACCAAAAGGTCTAGACAAGATGATGGTATCATCTGATGGTGATGTCACTGTTACTAACGATGGGGCAACTATTTTAAAAATGATGGATGTGGAGCATGAAATTGGTAAATTGATGGTGCAATTGTCACAGTCTCAAGATGATGAAATCGGTGATGGAACGACTGGAGTTGTTGTCTTAGCAGGTAACCAACTTTATTTTATAAATTTGATTTTTATTATTAACTTTAATTTTTAATTTGGAATAACAAAAACGATGAAAAATGTATTTTTAAATATTTTTTTTAACTACACTATTATCACTTTCAACTCTTGTGCCATCACTTCAGTGACATAATACTTTACAAATGTCGTAATACATTATTTTTGCAATGTGCATGTGGAAAAGGTTAATAATCATAATTTGGATGTAATAGTTACTTGTAGATTAACATCAATATTGTAATATTTTCATTACAAAAATCTGTTTTTAAATTCTTAGGTGCTTTATTGGAGCATGCAGAAAGTTTACTTGATCGTGGAATACACCCAATTCGTATCGCTGATGGTTATGAACTGGCTGCGCAATGTGCTATGAAGCATCTTGATAGCATTTCAGAAGGTTTTCCTATTTCCCAAAATAATCTTGAGCCATTGATCAAAGTGGCGATGACGACTTTGGGATCAAAAATTGTTAACAAGTGCCACCGGCAGATGGCTGAAATGGCTGTCAATGTGAGGAAATAATTAATTTGTATAATAAATAAATCATAAATGTTTAAAGAATGAATTTTGAGCATGATATTTAAATATTATTTGTTAATATGTTTATTGGTTATCATAAGTAACTAATAATAATATCAATATTTAATATTAATAATAATTGTATTACCAACTTACCTGCTTAAGTAATAAGTAATAAGTGCATGTCAAATTATTTAATTTAAATGCTATCCTCATGTATTAGATTTGTGAAACTTGAAAATTATTTAAAAAATGCAAGAGTTTTTGGAATTACGTTCTATAAATAATTAATTTTTTAGGCTGTTATGGCTGTCGCAGACTTGGAAAAGAAGGATGTCAACTTTGAATTGATAAAAATAGTGTGTAAGGATGGTGGTCGAATGGAAGATTCAATGCTTGTGAAAGGTGTTGTTATTGACAAAACCATGAGCCATTCACAGATGCCAAAAACATTGAAGGTAATTTTATTTTGCTTGGTATTGAAAATATTTACAGGAAGTGTTGTAATAAAAGTTCATATTTTAATTTCATTATTCTTATTTTATATTTTCCTCTATTTTTTGAATTTTACTATTTAAACTTTTTTTTATCAGCAAGTCAAATATTGCATTCATAACTCAAAATATGGCTCTAGTGGATCTTGTTATAAAGTTAGAGAAATTTGTTATAAAAGAACAGGGCTAATGTTGTTATTAGAAATCGTAATAGTGAAAAGATAATTATTTCTGACATTGGAAAGAATAATGAGACAAAGCAATTGTGAGATCTGTTATATTATTGATCTTCATTATATAAAAAAAATCAAGATTAAAAATCTATTGCAATATTACAAATATAGTACTTCAGACCTCCTATTTATTTTGCGCATATATAATTATTAATAATATTTCCAATACCTTGCATCTTAACACTTCGATGTTCGGTCATGAGAATTTTACTTCTTCATTCAATTATGAAATAATAGCCGGTGACATGAGATAAACTTTCAGTAAAATTGCCGATCATGTATACTTTTACTTCCATGTTTATATAATGCAGGGGATAAAATGAATTATGAAAAATAAAAAAATTAAGTTCTCAAACAGCAAGGATATCAATTTGAATGCTGTTAGAAATATTTACTAAAAGTGTTGTTTCTAACATTTGTATATATTTTTCTATTCTTATTATTTTGATTGTTTGAAACATAGATGTTGAAAAATAAACTATAAGACACATCATGAAAGTGCTTTTTGAGCAAAAAAACAAATAATAGTTGTAATTTGCATCTTTTTGATTTTATACGAAATATATAATCTATTTCTTTATAGAATGCCAAAGTTGCTATTTTAACCTGCCCATTTGAACCACCAAAGCCAAAAACTAAACATAAGATGGAAGTCAAGTCTGCTGAAGATTATAATGAGCTCAGAAAATATGAGGCTGAGAAGTTCCAGGAGATGGTTAAACAGGTACTTTATTATTAATTGAATTTTTTTTAGTCATATGGACTTTAGAAGAAATAAATTCTACAAATAAATTCTTATTAACTTCTCGTAGGATAAGTTATAGTAATCACAAATCTAAAATGAAAATTGTTATATATCTTTGTTTCAAAGGTTTGTGGACATTTTGGCATACCTTAGGAAAAATGAATGCCTGTGTGTGTGCGTGTGTGTGTGTGTGTCGATACAAATTTTCGTCGATTTTGGGAACACCGATCAACCGATTTGAATAATTCAAAAAACATTCAATTCCTATAGATAAGGAGACGTGCTAATTAGTTTTTGGCAAAGCCAGGTCTAATTTTAAGTCTGATTTTAATTATTCCAAGAAAAAAATACTTGTATTGACAAGATGAAGAACTGATTAAATTTTTGGAAAGGCAGGTGTAGTGGTTTCGGAGATCTAGTAAAAAAAGTAAAAAAAAACTCCATTTGGCGGTCGAAAATGATAATTAGACATATACACAAATTATCAGATATTTGATGGAGATTTTAATGTGTATCAGTTTTCTTACCGTAACTTCATTTGTCCGTTATGCTGCGACGCGGCGCTTACGCGCTTCGATATTTAGTCTCTATGCAGTGCAATTGCTTTGAAAAAAAGATCAAAAATTCAATATTTTCCAAAAATTTAAATTTTCTCAAACCTTATTTTTTCAAAGTTAAAATGCCATACACCACTAGTTTATATTTAAGTTTATGGTATATAGTTTCTGATCTGATCAGTAATAATGACCGAAAAGTATATTTTGTTACCTATTTAGTAAATAGTATTTACATTATTAATTTTGTGTGTGCAGTTTTTTTTTGTTATAGATATTCTTGTATTTAGTCATATTTTATTTATATCTTGATAAATATTTTGATCATATTGTTATTTTGTCTCTGTTATTTTTTGAATATATTTTTTATATCTTCATATCTCCATTACTAGGTTAAAGATTCCGGTGCCACTTTAGCTATTTGTCAATGGGGCTTTGACGATGAAGCAAATCATCTTTTACTTCAAAACAATTTACCAGCAGTTCGTTGGGTTGGTGGACCAGAAATAGAATTGATTGCCATTGCTACTGGAGGTCGAATTGTCCCACGATTCGAAGAACTCACTCCTGAGAAATTGGGACAGGCCGGAATTGTTAGAGAATTAGGTACAAATGATAATTGATTGTTTACTATTTTTTAATACTTAATCAGATAAAATTAAATGATTGCACTTTAACAGTTTTATACACAATACTAGTAATAGTAATTTCTTTGTATGAAAATTGCGTTTTTTATTTGAATTAAAAAGTTTACTACAATTCTTTTAGTCATCCCTAATAGTAGTAGTTTCATATTTTATTATTAAAAACATACTACTAGCTTTATTTGAATTCTATAAATTAAACAAGATTTGCAATAAATTTTAAATTGTTTTTTTATTACTTCAGCATTCGGAACAGCTAAAGATAGGATGTTGGTTATCGAAGAGTGCAATAATTCAAGAGCTGTAACGATTCTCTTACGTGGTGGAAACTCAATGATCATCGCCGAAGCAAAACGATCAATACATGATGCTTTATGTGTCGTCAGGTCTTTAGTTAAGGTACATTACTATTATTACTTTTATTTATTTATTATTACTTTTTTATTATTACTTAACATAGTATCAGAGGGCATATTTTTACTCTTTAAACATACTAAATTTAAAAGCATTGTAATACTTTGTCTGTGTATCAAACTGAAACTTTACTGTACTTTTTGTGTACATTCATTCAAACAATTTATGATGTTTATTTTTAATAATAAATACCACCATAATTTTGATATATCTTCAAGTCCTTTTCATCACACCGTTCATTGAGTTCTATACATGCAGTGGAAATTTGTGTCTTCTGCACTTTTGTTTTTGAGATAAAAATTTATAATCTACTAGAATATACATTTTAAGATTCATTGTTTTTCAGTCGGAATTTATCTTTCCAAAGTAGCTTTGTTTGCAAAGAAATTTGATTTGCTAATTTTATATTTTTTGACGTTTTCAGTAATTCTTAATTGTTTCATACCAAAATTGCAAAAAGTGTATATGAGCCAAAATTTGATCTTTCGGCGACATTTTCAGGCTGATTTCAAAAATTTGATTTGTCATTTGATGAAACTCAAAGCTCCTTTTGTGATTAGTTTTGCGAGGAGATTGGCTGAGAGATTTCTTTAAATTTAGCAAGAGAACATGCAAAAAAAATTAAGATTTTTACAAAAGAAAATGTACTGATTTTAAAAACTTAAAACCTTTTTATTTTTTGAATTTCAATATAATTATTGATAATTGGTCATATAAAAAATCCTAAAGTATTGTGAGTCTAATGTTCTTTAACTTCCATTAGGGTAAGTTATAGTAATCAAATAAAATCGAAAATGAAAATTTATATGTTCCGAGATCTCCTGAACATTTCAGCATGCATTTTTAACTTCCCGTAGGGCAAGTTATATTAATCGCAAAAAAATGGAAAATGAAAATTTTTGCATTTCTCGACGTTTCAAAGGTTTCTGAATATTTTGGCATATCTTAGAAAAAATGGATGTATGTGTGTGTGTGTGCGTGTGTGTGTATGTATGTGCGGATTTGTTTGTAAGAGAACGGAGCGTCCGATTTTAATAATTCAAAAAACATTTTACTTGTATTGACAAGGTGAAGAACCGATCAAATTTTCATAAAGGCAGGTCTAGCGGTTTCGGAGATCTAATGAAAAAAGTAAAAAAAAAATTGCCATTTGGCGGTCAAAAATGATCATTAGACATATGCACATCAAATTATCAGATATTTTATAGAGATTTTAACAATAAGTATAAATTTGGTTTACATTCCTATGGGTTCCGTACCAATGTTTACGCGTTATACGACGACGCGGAGCTTACGCGTTTTGATATTTCGTCTTTATGCAGTTAAAGCAGTACGATTGCTTTGAAAAAAAGTTTAGATCTTCCAAAATATGTCAAAATAAAGTAAGCATTTTTTTTTTTAAAATAAATTTAAAAAAAAAATTTTTCCAAAAAAAAAGTAATTTTATGTCCAATTAATAGTTTCTCAAAAATCTTATTTTTTCGAAGTAAAATTTTTTCAAAAATGTTAAAAAAATAATAATTTTTGGTACGGGAAGTTCCAGCAATTTGCCTTAAGGCACGATGCCTTAATTGCCTTAAGACAGAATTCCACTTACAGCTAGTTTTTTTTGTATAGCTTAGGAAGAGAGTTTACGCATATCATATACGTCTGGGTATGTCGTGCTAAATACGTCAAAACCTTGACGTGCGTATTAACAAACGTGCATAATACTGAAACTGCCGTTAGGCACTACTTTATGAAGGGAGGAGGCTCTAGAATTCTATAATTCCCAATATTAATGAAACTTTCATTCTAATTGCTCCCATTCGCTCGTCTTCTTTTCGAAGATTACCGAAGCCTATTAGAACTTCGGTATCATATGTGTCTATGGATGGTATTCCATGCATAGACACATATTTTACAAGAGCTTCTGGTCTTCCACTTTTTTACAAGACTCCTTTGATTCCAAACAATCTCAAAATGGTTTTAGTTTAATATAGGCCCAGTTTGTTTCATTGTGCATCTTTATGGAAGCATTAAAGAGTTGATTTTTTATTTCTACTGTTTTGTACACATTCTAAATAATTTTTTAATTAAAAACCCTTTACTTTTTATTTCAATTAAATTAAATAATTTATTAAAGATTGGGGAATTAATTTCTTAAATTCACCCTCAACGCATCTGTTTAACTATTATAAATTCACGCTAATAATGTGTTGAAATCCTTTTATAATGCATTTGTATAAATTTTATTGAAAATAATTCATTATAAACAGGTGCAAAATTATTTCATTGATTTGCTTTTAGTGTATAATTCAATTTTATATTATTTTTTGTTTGTTATTTATTTTTTCCTGTTTATTATAGGATAATAGAATCGTTTTTGGAGGTGGTGCTGCTGAAATCAGTTGCAGTCTTGCAGTCGCTAAAGAAGCAGATAAGCTATCGACTTTAGAACAGTATGCGTTCCGAGCTTTCTCAGAAGCTTTGGAATCTGTACCATTAGCTTTAGCTGAAAACAGGTATTTACCAAAGCAAAATATTTTTTTTTGTTGAGAACTCTATCATCGCAATTGTAAAATTGGCTAAATCAATTATGAATTTTTTCAATTATTATTAAGTCAGTTATTTACATGTATCTCGACGAGTTGATGCAACTTGTCTTAAGGCAGTATGCCACTTTAGTTAGTTAATTTAAACAACGCAAAGTATGTTGTTTACGCAAAAATACAATCGGTAATTAAATAAGGATTGTGTGTTGAATATGTCAAAATGTTGTACAACCGCGTAATTAATATTGAGCAATTAATAAAATTTGGATATTCAATTAAATAAAAAACCTACCACGTTTTTTTTTCAAACCAGTTTCTCAATTACTCAGTTCTTAAGAGGTTCAAAATTAAGGTGAGTTTACAGAATTCAATTTAATCATGCGGAATAGATACATTAAAACAGTTTTAGTAAATATATTTTCGAATTATGAATTATTATATAAATAAACTAGCAAACCCGACGAACTCCGTTTCGCCACCAGATGGTTTCGTGGGAAAGATGAAGAAATTTTTTGTTTGTTTTATATTTGAAAAGAAAAAAATTGATTTTATTGCACAACAGTGATGAATTTATTTCGATTACAAAAACGAAGTGTTTTTGAGTTGAACTTCTCTAAGTAAATGAAAGTGAATCCGCCAATTATCCGTTTCATTGAAGTGCTCTTTGGTAATCCACATTTTTTGTTTTTTGGTCTGAAGTTAACACAAACAAAGCAGATGGTTTACCAACTCGTGAACAGGGAACGTATAACTGCCCATGTGAAAAACAATGATTTTCTAAATAATCTATTTGAAATTTATCCCGCAAACACTAAGCGATTGGCCTTGCGACTTGTTAATTGTCATTGCGAACGCAAGGCGAACTGGAAATTGCAATTGTTTGAAGTCAAACGGAAAACCAGTCGGAATTATTGGTATGTCACCAAATTGCCAGCAATTTTTGATTGAATGGTGAAATTCAGTGCGTGTACATCATTATTCTTTGCGGCAAGAATTGCTAGTTGACTTAACCAAGCATAATTCTGATAATTCTCACTAATGTCATTACTCGAAATTTTAATTACTGTGCGTGAAATTCCAGCAATTTGAATTAGGGCACGATGCCATGCACCACTAATTTTCTTAGCTATAAACCTTGCGGAGCCCGAGACCTTTCCAACGAATGCAAAATTATCGAAATCGGTTCGTGCGTTCTGGAGTTATTTCGTCAGGAAGGAAAACCCGACTTATTTTTATATATATAGAAGAAGATAAAACTATAATCAAAAAATCATCGCTTATTTTTACGTTTTCTCAAAACCAACGTCGACTCGTATCGCTACATACTAAATGTTTTATTCTTGTTAGTATAATTACATTCTAATGGTCCAAATGTTTTAATAATAATTTTATAAAGGCTCGTTAAGTGAAATTTATTATGTATTTAAAAAATAATAAAGAATAAGTCCCATATAAATTATTAGAAATTAATATTTTAATTTTAATTTACATTTTTTCTTTTTAGCGGTCTGAGTCCGATTCACACATTATCAGAAGTAAAATCTCGTCAAGTGGCTGAAAACAATCCTGCTCTTGGAATTGACTGCATGTTCAATGGTAAGTTCCTAGAACTATATATATATATTATATATATATATATATATATATATATATATATATATATATTAAAGTAACTAGCAGCCCATACGTCGAAATAAAAATGGTATAAAGTATTAAAAACTTTTATTTATACGTTTCGACACCAGATGCGCGTCATCATTCAGCAACATCAGGACAAAAACACTCAAAAAAATATCAATTTTAAAAAATTAAACTTCTAACATATTAGAAAAGGACATTATATTTTTTTGAAAAATAATGAATAACTACAAAATTAAAAACATTTTGAAAAAAGTTTTGAAATGTAACATTATGACGCATGAAACACGCCCATATCAAGCAACAGACTTGACAGTCGATATGTATATAACAGTTGACCCGGCAAACGTTGGTTTGCTAAGTAAGGTATATTCTAAACAATTTCTAGAGAATCAAAAAAATTAATACTTTAAGTGTATAAGGATGTGTTTGAATGCTTTCTACAATGAGGTATTATTGTATGCAGAATCATATCCAATGGAGGATACTATACCTACGGGTACAAAACCCATGTTATAAAATGCAATGTACATACTTACATTTATTGAAATATATATGTTTTTGACTTTGACTAATGAGGTATTATAAAAACAATAAACCGCATTAGTTTGTCTATATTTTGTCAATACAATGAGGCCGTTCAAGTATTACGTAAGCATAGAGGGGCGGGGGAGTTATTGATTTGCTTATTTTGCCTATTTTGGGTAAGAACTTTGCTTACTTTTGCTGATAAAGGGGAGGGGGGGGGGTTAAATAATTGTAATAAATCTGCTTACATAATACTTGAACAATCCCAATCAAACTGGAAGCATTATACACTTTCTATAGAAAACATGGTATAATACAATCCAAGTTTTCTTTGGTCTTTCGACTTATTGATTAGGTTTCAAGTTTTTCAGATTTTTTTTGGATTCTGGATTTTGTGTATAATTGTAAATAATACCACTGAGCTCTTGCAAAATTTTCAAATTTCTGCGAGGAGGGATAGAAAATAAATTAAGTATTTCTTCTTTGACCTGCTTTTAAAAGTTTCAAGTAACGTTCGATGAATTAAAGTAAATTTAATGAAAAGTATATATATGTAGAGCAGGGCGAGGCACAAAGGTCCAATTTGACTTTGAGCAAATATAACTATATTATGAAAAAGATACACATAGAGTTAACTTATATTTATTTTAATAGCGTGTCATAAAATACATTCACCATTGTTTTAAATTTACGAAACACGTGTGACGTAAATCCTACGTTAGAAATTTTTCTTGATACTACTTTTGTACTTCATTACTGGGTTAGGTACTTGTCAAAAACGACCAAAATCTTTTATAACGTTATTAAATCAATTTGTTAAATGTGTTCCACACTTAGTTATCTCATTTTCTATTTATTGATTACTGATTCTTTTATTTCCAGGTCAGTTTGATATGAAAAAACAAAACGTCATCGAATCTCTCCACAGCAAGAAGCAACAGTTGGTATTAGCTACACAATTGGTTAAGATGATTTTAAAAATCGATGATGTCAGGTCACCTGCTGACCAATAATTGATACAAGTCTTATAGCAACCAAAATCAATGACACTTATTATCACAAATTGCATTTGAATTTTTGAACACTAATCATTTTAGCTTTTGGCAAAATTATTGTTTGCTTTTGTTTCATCGGTTATTTGTTTTCATAGTATTATTTATTAAGATAGTGATGTTTCATATTCTCAAATAAAAATACATTTATAGTTACTAAATGCGTTGACTTTTACTACAGTTTGTAAGAACTGTATGGAATTATTCGTAAACTGTGGACTCGGTTAGTTTAAGTTTTTTTATAGAAAGAGAAGGTTTTGCTAGAAAATTTTATTTAATATTTTTTTATTTTTTTGAATCTAAGTTATTTGTTAACTATCTGTAGGGTATATTTATCACAAAAAAATTGAAAATAAAATTTTTGCAAATCCTTATATTTCTGAATATTTTTATATATGTATGCATGTTTAGTTACAATTTTTTGATCACGATGTGTATAGCAAGGATCAACTGATTTGAATGATTTAGTAAAGGCACGACCAGTCGTTACGAAGATACCGAACAAAAAGCGCAAAAAATGGCAATTCCGTTTTTAAGAGAACTGAGCGTGTGATTTGAATGAATCAAAAAACATTTCATTTCTTATATTGGCGGTATATAGAATAGTGTATATAGGCGCTTATAAGTGACTAAAATTTTGGAAAAGGGCAGGTACAATGGTTTCGGAGATCCAATAAAAAAACTTACGAAAAAATCCATTTGACGGTCAAAAATGATCATGCACATCATTGTTAGGTATTTATAGAGATTTTAATAATAAGCACAAATTTTGTTAACGTTTCTAAGGGTTCCGATTTGTTTACATTTCTAAGATTTCCGGTTAGAAATTGGAATTTTCAAAAAAATTTAATATTTTCATAAATGTTAAAAAAAAAAAATCCTCAAAACTTAAAAAAAAAAATTAGATTATGGTGCGGAAGTTTCTGCAATTTGCCTTAATGCACGATGCCATGCGAGTAAAACTCTGGAGCTCTCTTATATACTTGAAATAAATAATTTTAACTTTGTAATTCAGTTCATATAATTCTTAGGAATGTGAGATAGTTTTTCATTTTAACTCCCCTTGATTAATTTTTATTTTCCTGCAAGGTAAGTTAAAAATATTTAACAATGATTAACAGCTTTTATAATTTCCTTCTCAAACTTATCACAATTGTAATTATTTCATAATTACAATGGTAATCGTCCCAAAATCGAAATTGATAATTTTTCGATGTCTTTAAATTCATGAGGTTTCCGAACATAGAGCGTTTGTATATGTATGTATGGATTTATTTTTTCGTCCACGATTTCGGGCGCACAGATCAACCGATTTGAATAAATAAAAAAAACACGTTTTCTACTGTTGAAATGTTTCGAACATACGGAGCTAAATGTGCGAAAAATTGCAGTTTTTGAGAGAACGAAGCATCCAATTTGAACGTTTTACTTGTAGACGTAACGATTGTTTTTGAGAAAAGCAAAAAAAAAATCTATTCGAAAAAATATTCTTTTTAAATATCGAAAATTATTAGGATTTTAATTTAAATTAACTTCCCGTAGGGTAAGTTATAGTAATCGCAAAAAATCGAAAATGAAAATCTTTATATCTTTGCAATTCAGAGGTTTCTTAACATTTTGGCACACCTTAGAAAAATTGATGTATGGGCGTGTGTGTGTGTGGATACAAATTTTCGTTGACGATTTCGGGAAACAGGTAAGCGATAAGGAGACGTGCAGATTAGTTGGAATTATTGGAAAGGCAGTTCTAGCCGTTTCGAAGATACGGGGCAAAAATTATTATATACCATGGTAATTAAGTTTTTAACCCTAGAACGGTATTGTGCTTTTTATTGCGCTAATTAATGCAATTTTCAACTCAACAATTGATTTTTTTCCGTCTTTTGCCATTGTATACTTAATGATATCACCAAAGGTTATTTCAGAAAATATAAAGCTCTGGTTTAGTAACAAATAGTCTTTTTATTTTTGCAAAATTTACATACAAAAGTACCATCACCATTCGTTCTTGTCTGCATGTACGCTTCGTGCAGATAGCATTCTAGAGTTAAGAGAACGGAGCGACTGATTTAAATAATTCTAAAAGCATTTTAGTTCCATTGTCAAAATGAAGAGTTGATCAAAATTTTGAGAAGGCAGGTCTAGCAGTTTCGGAGATCGAGTAAAAAAGACCATTTATAGATATTTTGATAATAAAAACAAATTTTGTTTACATTTCTATGGGTTCCGTAACATTGTTTATCTGTTAGACTGCGACACTAAGCTTACGCACTTTGACATTTCGTCTACGCTACGCAGTTTAAGCTGCGCAAAAATTATCTTATCGTCCATGTTTTTGTCAAAAATTCTTAACTGTTTTTGCTTAAACTATTCGATTGATATCATTTGGAAATAAATGGTTTCTGGCGAAGATTTAAGTGACACTTTGCATGGCGATAGATTTTCTGCTCTAAATGAACGTACTAAACTATATTAAAGCCTGCGACAATTGGTATACTTATGATAATTAAAGTTTGGATTATTTGGCCGCGCTTTTAAAAATGTATTCGGCTTCGTACTTCGTATGTGTTCGTTTTCCATCAATGTGTAATATTCAAATCATTTTTCAAAAATAACTACTATATTTGAAAAAAAATAGTTTGCATTAGTTTCTCACTTCAAAATGGTTCACAGCGATTAGGTATGATTTTCTAAATCAGTCATTATTAACTTCCCGTAGGGTAGTTATAGTATTGGGCAGAAAATCTAATTTTTTTTTTTTTTTTTAAATTGAAAAGCGATCGATTTGAATGATTCCAAGAACTTTTTGCTCGTTTTGACAAAATAATTGCTTTTGAAAAAAAAATGTTTCAAATTTTTTTTTTCAAAATCTAATTTTTTTTGTACATCGAAAATTTTAATTTTAATTCGGACTAAAGTTTAAAACTTATATACTTCAAATATATAGCTTTAACTTTGCAATTCAGTTTATATAATTGTCGAACATTTCGTTACGGTACGGGAAGTTCCAGCAATTTGCCTTAAGGCACGATGCCATACACCACTAGTTATATATTGATTAAGTCGTCTATTTACAGCTGTTAGAATTACTGAAAATTCATGCGAAAGGGCCACTCACAATCAGTTTTATTTTTTGATTTTTGAATGAAATTTTTTTTCCAAACTGTAATAACGTATACATTTGCCATACGATTAGAAAATCCTTAAATTTTAGGGTTTTTGACTCCGCCATTCGTCTACAATCAGTTAAATATTCAAGTTATAAAATGTGTTTGGTAACAAAATACATAAATAAAATCATTATGAAGTAATTTTGTTGTTGAATTAGTGTTTTATCTAAGTCCTAAAACAGGCTCTGAGGGGGTGTTGACCTCCGTGACCCCCCCCCCCGGATCCGCCACTGGGGCACTGTTAAAGTCGAAGGATGAAAGCGCGTAATCGCCGTGTAGTCGTCTAATGTTTAAACATTGGTACGGAACCCATATAAATGTACACAAAATTTGTACTAATTGTTATAATTTTTATAAAATATCTGATAATACGATGTACGATGTCTAATGATCATTTTTGACCGCCAAAGGCATTATTTTTTACTTTTTTTATTGGATCTCCAAAGACGCTGGACATGCACCCATAAATTTCATTTCGTCAATACAAGTAAAATGTTTTATACTCACACAAACACATACATACATCAATATTTCTAAGGTATGCCAAAATGATCAGAAACCTCTGAAACGCGAAGATATATAAAATTTTAATTTTCGATTTTTTTGCGATTACTCTAACTCTTTAACGGAAAGTTAAAAAAGTTTAAAATTTCTAAAATATTTCAAAATATAGATATATATTTTTTTCAAAAGTCAATTTTTTCGAAAATTTCAAAATTCTCAAAAATGAATTCTTTTTAAAGTTTAAAAAAATTTAATCTTTATTAAAAAAAAATAATTTTTGGTACGGGAAGTTGCTGGAATTTGCCTTAAGACATGCTGCCATACACCACTATAGTTTTAAAATATACATTATTAATTTAATAAAAAATCAATTTGGGTTGTTTTATAAAATATATTTTCCGAAAGTTTAAATTGAAGTTACAAATACGATCATTAGAATGATTCAAAAAAATATCTTACAAGTAAATCTTTTCGAGTTATTTTTTGTTTTGAATAACTTAGTTATATGCAAAATTAAGTAGAATTCGGTGAGAGTTATTTCATCTAAGTACTTAATAAAATGTCGATTTTTTAATACATATTATTTGTTTATAACATTTTTAGAATTTCAATTTGGAATATATTTTCAGGTAACATATTTTGATACCACAATTATTCATAATACCAGTACTTTTTGTGAAAATCATTTTGAAACACAGATTTTTGTGGCAGCAACTTATTATAGAATTTTGAAAAATATTCATTTTTGACATCAAAGAAGCCAACAATAGTATTATGTTTACAATTATTTCAATATTTTTTTGTATTATCAAAGTTTAAAAACTGCCACCAAGATTTATTGCATTAAAAGTAATGTTCATAAACATTTCTGCAGTTAGTCTCATCATACAAATATTCATACGAGATTTAAAATAATTAATCATCGTCTTTTTCCTCTTAAGTACACCATTTTTAAGTATAACTTTTAATAATCTATTTTAACAATAATTGTATCTTTTACAAATATCAAGAAGCATAAGTCTCTCTGAATCTTTTCTGTAGATGTTGATAAGCTGTAAAGACTCTGTCTTTTGCATGTCTGAATTGTTCCTTCGTAGTCTTTTTGCAAGGCTTCTGAAATGGACATTGCTCTTCTGGTAAGTCCAATGGAGCAATTGGGGTACAGTTATCAGGATGGCAGAAGAAGGCTATCGCATGACGTCCTTTGTTTCTGATGTTGTGCTCAGGAATTATTACACGATGAGGCTGAAAGAAGATACTTGCATATAGGATTCGAATAAGCAATATAAATGTTACAGCGTGGTAATAAGTTTTATATAGCACGTGGTTTAAGTGAAACAACACATCCATGATTATAGTAATTGAAATATAGTTATTGATGGTTGCCTTAAATTTTAATTTTGTTTGAATAAAATGATTTGATCTACTAGGAGAACAGTCACGTATCAATCTTGACGCTGCAATCAGAATAAGGGAATATTAATTACCTTATCAAACATTCGATTACCCATCAAGAGGTTACATCATGAGAATAATCATGTTACCTTATTATGAGTAGGTTTAAAAGGTGGACAAATCAGAGCCTTCCAATTGATGACCGAACGCAAGTTTTCACTTGTAGGTGAATAATTCTCCCATAGAATAGTAATATATAGAATCGGTTGTAAAATGGTAAACTGTCCTCAATTCAATTGTGTTTTCAATTCAATAATTTATGTATTTAATGAAGATCAGATAACAAACAACTCGAAAATCTAACCTGTTATTCCCATATGATATTTTTTAATGTCATTGTAATATTTGATTACAACGAAATCCGGAATGCAGGAGTTGTTATCAATCACAATCAGAAAAATAGGTCTTAAATTATTTGTTGCAAAATCTTTCTTGCAATATTTGATTAAAAATGATACATGATAATAACCAAAATATATAGTTTTTGAAAAAATATTGAATAAAAGGACTCAAAAACAATATGTATCTTACTTAAGATATTATAATCTAACGTAGATGCCATAGATTTAGATATTTGAATTATAATAATTTTAGATTTTGAATCGAGAATGATAATCACAGGCGATTCAGTCAATTGTGAATTGATAATCAAGTTTGTCTTAAGGAAACAATAGGACTTTACTAAAAATCAAATTCTCCCCGTTGCTATTTTGTCAGCACATTACGAAGTATCTCTTTTTCCACGTGGGGGAACTGCCATGCACTTTTTAAACATTCGTTTATTAAACATTCAATACTTAAAATCTATCAATTACATTGTTTGCACAACTATTTTTTACTGTAGCGAAAGATTGAACAAAAAAATTTACCAATGCTGGATATCGCTCTTGTGTCCAGGCTGCTAATAATTCTCCTGTATTTATTAATATGGCACCAGGAAGATGACCCACTCTCTGCCATCGTTCAGTATGTGGCAGTTTCACCTAAAATAATATGAATAATTTTTTATAAAGCGAGGACGACTTATACTTGTAAAAACTTCAAACAAACATTTAAAATGCATGCACAATAAGTTTTCTCACATCTCACATATTTTATTATTAAAGATAACAAACATATAAATTTGTTTCTAAAATATCATAGACAATATTATTATATAAAACATAATTACATTTTGATATTTTAGCAATGAAATAAATTATGAATAAGTCTACTTAATTAGATAAGTCCACAAAAAAATTGTCTGCATTGATTGTGCGACATATGTTCACCAATATATTTTTTACCGCTTGATACAAATCTAAGGGTCAAAATTGGGATCAAACTGCAAAAAGTGGTGAATGGCATCGTGCCTTAAGGCAAATTGCTGGACCTTCCCGTACCGTAATGAAATATCCGAGGAATATTACATGTTTTTAAATATGTTATTTTATCAAATACTGTAAACATTTTTATGTTTGTAGAAAACTAAATAAACTAAACTTAATGAATCGAATTTAAAATGAAGGACATTGTCTGATATAAGATTACATAAACTGAATTGCAAATTTAAAATTATTTATTTTAAATATGTTAGTGAGCTTTAGAACTTTAGCTAGAAAAAAATTAAAGTTCGATTTATTTCCGATTTTCAACAATTTTTGTTTGAAAATTAAAAAAACATCCCAAAAGCAATTTGGTCAACATAAGCAAAAAGTTTTTTGTCATTCAAATCGAATGGTTATTTTTCTCAAAAACTTGATTTCTATTTTCTGCACTCTTTTCACCGTATATCTTCGAAACGGCTAGACTTGCCTTTGCCAAAAACTAATCAGCACATCTCCCTATTAATAGGAATGGAATGTTTTTTGAACCATTCAAATCGGTTGATACGAGCGACCGAAAACGTGGACGAAAAATTGTATCCATACATACGTACACACACATCCATTTTTTCAGAGGTATGCCAAAATGTTCAGAAACCTTTAAACTTACCCTACGGGAAGTTAAAACACGAACAAAAATATAATAAATAAAACATCAAAATCGACATTTTGTTTATCGATCTAGACATTTTTCTGCGTGATAATTGAAACCTTATAATTTTTGTTGTTTCAAAGCCCTTTTCTCCTTAAATGGCCTGTGCAATGATTTTTGCAACGCTTTTATTATCTATTTTAAGTAGGTGCCAGCAGTAATTTTCAAACATATTTATTTTTAGTATAAAGAAAAGCTATTCTGTAAACATTGAACCAATAATAAGTTTCTTTTAAAAGAAATCTGAATTCACTTAGCAGACACCAGGAATTCATCAGACTGTTAATTCACTAATTAATTTTAACTTTCCACTCGGGAGTCTGACTGCTCGACGGTGTGCTATACATATCTCTACTCTTTTTTTGAATCGGATTTTTTTAAAATGTGGTAATATTGCTTTTAAATACAGTTAGTATGATAATAAAACAGAAAATTTGTAAAAAAAATTAAAAATGTGATAAAAACCATGTTATTGTTTAAAAAATACGCATGTATGTTTAGTTCGCGACGACACGATTTGCCGCCGGAGGTGCGGCATCCGAGTCGAAAAGGTTAAAATCACTTTTCATAAATTAATGTAATCACCAATATATAATGTAATTAACTTCCCGTAGGGCAAGTTATAGTAATCGCAAAAAAATCGAAAATGAAAATTTTTATTTATCTTTACGTTTCGAAGGTTTCTGAACATTTTGGCATACCTTAGAAAAAATGGATGTATGTGTGTGTGTGTGTGTATGCGGATACAAATTTTCGTCGACGATTTCGGGAACACCGATCAACCGATTTAAATAATTCAAAAAACATTCGATTCATATTGATAAGGAGACGTGCTGATTAGTTTTTGGCGAAAGCAGGTCTAGCCGTTCCAAGATACAGGGCAAAAAGTGCCAAAAACGGTAACTCAGTTTTTAAGAGAACGGAGCGTCCGATTTTAATGATTCAAAAAACATTTTATTTGAATTGACAAGATGAAGAACTGATTAAATTTTTGGGACGACAGGTCTAACGGTTATGGACTCTCAATAAAAATAAGTTAATAAAATGTCATTTGGCGGTCAAAAATGTTTATTGGACTTATGCACAGCAGATTATCAGATATTTTATAGAGATTTTCATAATGTGTACACATTTTGTGTAATTTTTTTTGGGTTCCGTACCAAGATTTTTAATTACGGTACGGGAAGTTCCAGCAATTTGCCTTAAGGCACGATGCCATGCACCCCTATAGTTTTGAGTTTCTATTGCTGGTATATTTTTCTTACCTCCAAACCCCCTTCGGAATCCTGTGCTAATAAAGTGAATGTACCATAGTCACAATGTGCTCCACATCTCGTCACATTCATGCTGTCAACTTGATCAATGGACTCAGACAAGCAGTTCATTTGACTTGGTCTTCTGTCGTACTTCTCATAACCACAACTGCCTAGAAATAAATATTCGATCGAAAACAAAAGTTTATCATGAGAATAATTATGAATATTTACTTTATTATAGATGATTCAAATTGTAACACATTCAAAATTAAACCGAATGAGAATTTATGTCATCAAACGACGCATAACATTATGAGGAATATTGTTAGTATATAGTATAAAATATTCAAGCGATAGAAGCTCTTGTAGAAATGTGTATGTAGGAATTACCTTTAACGTAATCTATTTCTGCATCTTCTTCACTGATGCAAGGTGGATAATACAACAAGCGAAGTGTAGTGGCATTATCATCATTGTCGTTCAACATCTGACCATGTCTCTCCAGAAAAAAGTTTGATGGCAGTTCTGACAAAAAAATCATAAAATTAGTAATAAATAGAAGAAATAGAAAAGACAAAACAACTAACGCGTTTCGAAAAGTTTTTGAATTTTTTCAACGAGTGTCTCAAGCGATTCAGCATAACATAAAATGTCGAGAAAACATAAAATTAATAATCCGATTTTCTAGCAAAACAAAACTTCTTCTTCGAGAAATTCGAAACCAAGTAATATTAATTATCTTCTATATATATAAAAATAAGTCGGGTTTTCCTTCCTGACGAAATAACACCAGAACGCACGAACCGATTTCGATAATTTTGCATTCGTTGGAAAGGTCTCGGGCTCCGCAAGGTTTATAGCTAAAATTAGTTGTGCATGGCATCGTGCCTTAATGCAAGCTGCTGGAAATTTACCCACCATAATTAAAAATTCGAGTAATGACATTAATCAGAATTATCAGAATTATGCTTGGTTAAGTCAACGAGCAAATCTTACCGCAAAGAATAATGATGTACACGCACTGAATTTCACCATTCAATCAAAAATTGCTGGCGATTTGGTGACATACCAATGATTCCGACTGGTCTTCCGTTTGACTTCAAACGATTGCAATTTCCAGTTCACCTTGCGTTCGCAATGACAATTAACAAGTCGCAAGACCAATCGCTTAGTGTTTGCGGGATAAATTTCAAATAGATTATTTAGAAAATCATTGTTTTTCACATGGGCAGTTATACGTTGCCTGTTCACGAGTTGGAAAACCATCCGCTTTGTTTGTGTTAACGTCAGACCAAAAACAAAAAATGTGGTTTACCAAAGAGCACTTCAATGAAACGGATAACTTGCGGATTCACTTTCATTTACTTAGAGAAGTTCAACTAAAAAACACTTCATTTTTGTAATCGAAATAAAGTCGTTACTGTTGTATAATAAAATCAAATTTTTCCTTTTCAAATATAAAACAAACAAAAAAATTCTTCATCTTTCTCACGAAACCATCTGGTGGCGAAACGGAGTTCGTCGAATTTGCTAGTTTATCTATATAATTCAATATTAGAAACAACACGAAAAACAAGTTAAAAATTAACTTCCCGTATGGTAAGTTATAGTAATCGCAGAAAACTTAAAAATGAAAATTTTTATATTTCTTCACGTTTCAAAGGTTTTTGAACATTTTGGCATACCTTATAATTAGAAAAAAATTGATGTATGTGTCAACCGATCAACCGATCAACCGATTTGAATAATTCAAAAAACATTCAATTCGTATTAATAAAGAGACGTGCTCTTAGTTTTTGGCGAAAGCAGGTCTAGCCGTTCCGAAGATACAGAGCAAAAAGTGTCAAGAACGGTAACTCAGTTTTTAAGAGAACAGGGCGTCCGATTTTAATAATTCAATAAACATTTTACTTGTATTGATAAGATGAAGAACTGATTAAATTTTTAGGAAGACAGGTTCAGCGGTTATAGACTCTCAATAAAAATAAGTTAAGAAAATGTTATTTGGCGGTTAAAAATGTTTATTGAACATATGTACATCAAATTATCAGATATTTTATAGAGATTCTAATAATGTGTACACATTTTGTGTGCATTTTTTTGGGCTCCCTATCAAGATTTTTAATTACGGTACGGGAAGTTCCAGCAATTTGTCTTAAGGCACGATGCCATGCACCCTACTAGTTTCTTCTAATGACGCTAAATATGATAAGTGGTGTTTCTATGACGAGGGCGATTGATGTTTACAATTGAACGTTGCATCAATGATACATTTCTTGGTAACAGAGTTTCGATATAACTTTTGTTGTTTACTGGAAAAGTTCTTTTTAGGGTTTTCTTACCCAATCCAATTGCCAGCGACTGCAGTAACAATGTGCTGAGCTGTTTGAAGTCAGCTGCCAACGAGGCGATACTGGCGCGGAAACCTGGCAACACGTCTTCGGGCAGACCGTCCGTTGCCAGAGTACAAATGTTGTACGTGTGACGAATTTCAGGAGTCTCGCCGTCGAACATCTCCATTCCTAATGAAAAAGAATTAAAATTTAAAAGGAATAAAAATAGATCATTTCAAGTTTTGATACTGATGAAAGGGTATGGTATTATAAATGATAAATAGAACCACTGAAAAGAAAAAAAAAAACTCTTTCCTAAATATACCACGACGTTTTACCTTACTAATATTTCAATTGTTCAAACTCTGTTGCAATGCAGGCAACTACTGCTGGTCGTCTCGCAACGCAAACGTACAGAAAAACATAAAATTAGCAAATCTGAAATATTTTTTTATTCTTAACTTCCCGTAGGGTAAGTTATTGTAATGGGCCGAAAATCGAAATTGAAAATTTTTACATTTCTTGACGTTTTGAAGGTTTCTGAACATTTTGGCATACCTCAGAAAAAATGGATGTGTGTGTGTTTATGTATGTATGGATACAAAATTCCAGTCACGTTTTCGGGCGCACGGATCAACCGATTTCAATGGTTCAAAAAACATTCGATTCCTATTGATAGGGAGATGTGCTGATTAGTTTTTGGCAAAGGCAGGTCCAGCTGTTACGGAGATAAAGAGCAAAGAGTGCAGAGTAATGATTGGGAGAAGTGTTTATTAGTTTTTGACAAAGGCAGGCCCAGCCATTTCGAAGATTTCGAAGCTAAATGTGTAAAAAATGGCAGTTTTTTAGAGAACTAAGCGTCCGATTTAAATGATTCAAAGAACATTCTGCTTGTCTTAACAAAATAATTGATTTTGAAAAAAAAAATTTTTGTTTCAACCTTTTTTTGTTTTTTTTTCAAAAAAAAAAAAAATATATCGAAAATAATTTAGATTTTATTTTTAATTCTGACTATAGTTCTAATATACTTTAAACAAATAATTTCAACTTTGCAATTCAGTTTATATAATTCTTATAAATATTAGACAATTTTACAATATTTATTCATAATAATCTATTTGAAAACATTCAAAATTCCTCGAACATTTCGTTACGGTTCGGGAAGTTCCAGCAATTTGCCTTAAGGCACGATACCATACACCCTACTAGTTTAATATTTCATTGGCTTCGCTTACATAGAGCATTTAGCCACCTACAACATTTCATATTTTATATTCTACATTATTTTTTTGAAGTAAAACTTCTTTAGGCGCGACTAGGGTGTAAATCCGTACAAAGGCAACGTAAGTGCGTCACGACCGAGTCGAGTGCCAAAGATTTGTCATTCGCTCTCGATGATATCATTTCTATGCGGGTCGATTGTGATTGGTCGTCGTATAATGTTTGAGGCTAGTTTGTATGCGTGACTTTGTACGTGCGTACGTCACCGAAAGCGTGAAGTATATTGTTCATTTTTCGGTATTTCGTGTCATTAAATTTTAAGGTTAAATAGTAGCACAAATCTTGAGTTAATAAAACATGTCTGGATTGGGAGAATATTTTATCCCGTCCCACATAAATAATTATAGTGCAAATAATAAAACAAATGAAAAATCTGTGCCGTGTAAAAAACGTAAGTTTATTATTGAAGTAAAATGTATTATTCCAGGTTTTCGAAGTTACTATATTATTACTAAAATGGAAAATATTTTTATAAGCAAGACAGATACTACAGCTACTCAAAGAATGAGATAATATCGCCAGCAAAAAAGTAAAAAATACAACCGGTCAATGAATGTATGTTAATTTTAATTACATGAAGTTCTTCAAACACAATTATTACATAATGAGTGAAATTGTAAAAAAAAATATTTCTTAGGCGTTGTTTTATATAATCCACTGTGTGAACGAATATTATAGAATTTATTAATCAGCAATTACTTCATTTCTCTAATGAAGGTCTAAGTCCTAAATGCTAATTAAAATGACAAACCGATCATTTCATATTTGAAGTATGACTTCAATTTTATAAATATTTTTAATGCTATTATAAATATATAATTTATAATTTATTATTATATAAATGTGTATAATGATTGACGCTAATAAATGTGTGCATCACTAGTGTTAGCATATTACTAATAAACATTATTCAAAATTGTTATATAATGTATTTATTTACAATTGAAATCATGTGATAACAAAAAAGTTTTACTTTAATCGCGTATGAACTTTACGCGCATTCTCTTTTGATTCATTTTCTCAACTTTCTATGCAATTTTAAGTTAACAATAGAAATTCTAATTAATATTAACTCAACATTTTAAATTCTAACTCAAGATATTACATTATTAACATTACTTTATTAATTTTACTAACTCTTCTTACTTCTGAATCCATCTTCTTCACTTTTCTACTATTGCAATCTTCTTTTAATTAAGTCGAAATTTCTTGTTGATATTGTTTTTTTTTATACATCTTCGATATTTACATACTTTATATACTAATTTATTCAATTGGAATTATATATTATGAAACAAACAAATTCGTTATTACACTTCATTATTTTATCAGGAAGCGCCAGGAATCGAACCAACGATCATCGTCATGTGAGTTGGACGTGCTACCTATGAGCTATGTCCGACACAAATGTGACATTATGGAGAAAAAAAATGCTCCAAGAAGTTAATTACGTACTACATAGCTACATGCATACCTACATACACCAACACATCTACCTACATTTCAACATGAGATAATTCAAATTGATCAGAGGGTCTGGACACGTGGAGATAAAAATACAGACCAAAGTCTTCCAAAGTGATCAGGAGAAAAGTAAAGAGTACTAATTAATACCTAAATACATATCTGATATATATCAAAAGAATCTTGACAACGCATAAGAAGAAAATACAGTGTAATACATACCGCGAACAAACATAAATCAATTTAGTTTTAGCAGTATTTCAAAATGGTCAAGACATATATACACATATGCAAAATTAGTTTTCGAATTCGCTCTTCTAAGTTCATTGAAAAAAACTATAAACTTAAACTGTGATTTTAAATATCTAAAGTTATTTAAAATAAATATTACTATTGACGATGAACTTTAAGTAATCAAGACTCAAACGATTCAAGAAACGCTAATCATCATGACGTTTCACCTTTCTACTTTTTTAATCGCTTAATACAAAGTGCATTCTAACATTTTCTGCCAAATCCATAAATAAATGCGATGCAAATAACAAAATGTCAAAAGCAAATGTTTCTTTTTGGACATTACGTTTGACCCTTTAAAATGACACTATAAGTGTAACCAAAACAGCAAGACAAGCCATGTGTTTCCCATATTAAAATATTATCTTTTGTCCATAAAATAAAATGTAATTTTTTTAAACTATACAAAGTGTCAATGACGGTATTAGAAAGATATGTATTATAATAAGTGCCAACAATATAATATTACAATATTATAACAGAACAGCAATGAATAATTTTTTGGACTATATATATTTTCCAGACTATATATATTCTTTTCCACTTATGGCACCATTTAGTTTCTTCGCTCTGAACTTCTTCAACATGATAATCCAATAAAGAAACCACCAATAAAAGCAGTTACAATATAAGGATTCGACCTAGTAAGAATACCAACTTGGTCCATTATCTTAGGTTCATCGCCATAAACAACTTCTTCAATTTGATCCGTCACCTTATCAGCCTTCTTGGTCACTTTGTCCCAGTCAATGGAAATGTATCCTTTATGGTTGGCTAATTGCAATAATAAAATTCCACCTCCGATGGCGACAGAAGCCATCTTACCAATCCTCATGGTGATGAACCCGGTGCACCATCCTGATAATGATCCAATCAGTAGTTGTTTTGATGCTGGTGTTTTGCTGAAATCACCAATGATGCGTTCAATAAAGTTTGCACTTTTAGGTGATTCGTTCATGCTGATGATTTGTTTATTTGCTTCGTTCTTGGTTGATTTTTTCACAACTGGACTTGCCATTGATACACTAATAAGTCAGCTTTGTTTTCTCTAGTAATTTTCTATTTATTTGACATTTACACAACTGCGCATCTCGTTTAAACAAATGCAAGATCAGTATATCCAGTGTTGCTCAATCTGGGTAAAGGTGCGCCCATCACATCAAAATGTGCCATGAGATTATTAAATTTCAATAGAGTAAGTTATGGTAATAGCTTAAAATCGAATATAATTTTTTTTATCAAAATCTTCTGAACATTTTGGTATATCAAAAAATTGATACTAAGACAATTTCATGAGCACGAAACAATAAATAAATGATTTAAAAAGCATTCGATTCGTGCTGATTAACTTTTGGCAAAAGCAGGTTTTGGGGATACGTGCAAAAAATGCCTATTTAGTTTGTGAGAGAACGGAGCGTCCAATTCAATTGAATGATTGAAAAAACATATTACTTGTATTGACGTAATGTAAAATTGACTAAATTTGGTTTTTAAGATCCAGAAATATTTTTAAAATAAAATCCATCGGTGTATGCGGCGTCATTGCTGTGTTATCCGTGTGTGCAGTATAGAATCTGTAGAATTGCCTGATGGCACAACAATCGAAATTTATACCATAAAATGCATATAAAATGTTACTCCACTTATGCATATTAATTGTTTATGTACCTAACAAAGAGTCCTAGGAGTTGCCCAATGGCTCATATATACCTAAAAGAAGCATAAAAAAAGAGTATTGTGAACTTAACATAAAGTCCTTAGAGTTACCTGATAGCACAATTGCACAACCAAGCCTAAAAATAATTCCCATGAGAGTGTGTAGAATAAGCATTTTCATAATAAACATACATAATAGAAGCACGTACTTAAAATTTACTCATTAATGTTCAAAACGAAGCAAACACGCGACAACGATAACAAAATGATAACGATACTAAAAGAGTATCGGTGGCATTGTTGAGGAAACATGAACGCGCGAAATTTAAAAAACATCAACAACCATACGAATGGAGTGGTTAAAACCAGAATAATCTCTTATCGTACTCATATTCACGAGTAGAAAACGAGATTTTTTTGATGATGCATTGAATTTATGCATTGCAATTTGATATTCATAATATGATTTGCACAGATCAGATAAGTAGACTGTATTGAACGCTAACAAAAACTGCATTGAGAGCACATAATTATGAGCAATGAATCTAAAGCAACTATCAAATAATATAATCTTGTATTTCATAGTCAATCATAATATTACTTCCAGAAGAAGTTTACATAAATTTAAAACAAAACAAAAGTATAATTTTATATTTTTATTTCTTCAATATCAACTGGTTTTGCTAGCTATGTGGGGTTTTACAGATTCACGTTAAGCAAAAAAAAAACTTAATATAATTGTATTTTACACAGTGCTAGCTATGCCTAGATTAACTGTTTTGTCTGAATGTTGGCATGAGTGATAGTATGATCTTAGATCTTACATAAGATTAGCTATGGGTGGATGATAATAACTAAAGAGTAATGAATATATAGTAACAGAGGAGCGGTTATAAAGAGATTATAGTGAGATACGTGTATAGTGCTAAAGAGACAAATAATGCAATAGAGAGAGTTATTTGAGACAACAAATGAGTATTAAGAGATAAAGTGAATTATTATAGGACTGTTAAAAAGTTAGGATAGAAATAGATCATACATGTCGATTAGAAAAAAAGAACTTGTGGTGCATAGCATCGCGTCGTAAGTTAAATTGCTAGAACTTTCTGTATCGAAAACTAAATTAATAAGAAAAACTTTGCAAAACTTTGAAAAAATTAAATTATCAAGAAATTTTGAAATTTTTGAAAAAATTGACTTTTTGAAAAAAAAAAGTTTTTTTTGTATTTTGATCTTTTTTTTAAATTTTTTAAGTTTTGAACTTTTTTTTAAGCAATCGCGCTGCATAGATGGTTTGAGGTCGCAATATCAAAGCGCGTAGGCTCCGCGTAGTCGTCTAATGTGTACGGAACCCATATAAATGTACGGAACCCATATAAATGTATTTGGTACGGAACCCATATAAATTATATGGGTTTAATATAAAAAAAATTATATTATATAAATTTCCGCCGAAAATTTTTTTAGCACTTTATTACAAGAAAGCGGCCCGGCCGATCTTTACCAAAAACTAATCAGATTCCCAATCAATATCTTTCGAACGGTTTTTGAATTTTCAAAATCGATTCAGAATTGCAGGCTAAAACGTGGACGAAAAAATGTTCACTTTTCTGCTATTTACAAAGAAGGGGATTGGCTGAACGTCGCGCAAAATTGATAAACGCTAGTCCTCATATATCGAATGGCTTTTAAATTTTTGAAATCGGTCCAGTCGTTTTTGAGAAAACGTCGATTTACGGCATAAAATCTGTTCACATACACGCACATACATACACACACACACATACGTTTTCCAAATTTGGTCTCATTCGATTCAGAATGTCTTGAAACGTCGAGAAAACGTAAAATTAGCAAATCGGATTTTTTAATGTTAATTGATTTGATTGATTTTCTGAACATAATCTTCTCCTTCGGGAAGTTGATATAGATTTAAAAAAATTAACTAAAGTTAATTGTTAAAATGTTTTACTATAAGTTAGATATGCAAAAAATGAAAAATTTTTCATTGTTTGACGATTACTATAACATGCATAGGTGAATAAGAAAACGTTGAAGAGTAGGAGAAGAAACAATATTACTGATGGCCGAACTGAATCTTCACTCAATAAAATCTGTTGAAAAGTAGTTGAAAAATTCCGAACTGGTCTGACATTAAAAAAAACGCAAGTCAGCTAAGTGGGAAATCTAAGTTTCAAAAAGTTTCTGAAACAAGTTTTTTGGCGAAGCATATCTACGGATCTAAGGAAGGACTGAGACAAAACATAATTCGGAAGTGTTGTCAGAAATTATGTTGGAAAAGATAAATTCGATCGACAAATAAAGCAGTATCGCAAATTTCGTGAAGAATTTAACTGACTAAAGAAATCTGGATTGAAACAATATCGGAAAAAGATTTCTTTATGCACGATATCAAAAAACGTAAATAGATGGAGTTAACGGAAATTATTAATATGAGGATGAAGAATGCAGATGATAGATGACACTCCAGGATGTGAAACAAAATGCAAACGGCACAGCAGCGCAGAAACAGAAGATCAATAGATAAAAAGCGAAATATAAAGAAGAAAATGGGAATGCTCTTAGACCAAAGACTTTATATTTAATTTTTTTTTAATCGATTTATTAAAGTTATATGTAAGGTTGGCAAAAACAATTCACCTAAAACGCAATACTGTTCCGTAAATACTGTACCAACTTCTAACATACAATATCACGGATATCCTTTCTTACGCACTATACCATATACTGCATATTTTATTTCAGAACACTCCCTATCTTTTAGTGCATTATCTATCCTTTACCCCAATAGATGTCGCTGGATCCCAACCAAACACAATAATTTGTAACAAACTTTTTTGAATTCATCCTCACCTAGATAATTCTGCAATTATTGTAGATACCTGGTTTAACGTATCCATGGTTTCCGTGTTCCGAGTTCCTAAGATATTTCTCTTTCACTTCGCCAGGAAGATCGCAAAATTTGTCCAAAGTTGAGTAGACTTTCGTCAACTGTAAAAAAGGATAATGTAAGTTTATGTGACGAATGTGAATGTAATTTTAAATTATGAATAATATTGTATTTTAGAAAAGTTTATCGTTTATAATAAGATAATAGAGATGAGAAAAACAATAGTAAATATTGAGATTATATCGTCTTGCGATTTTGGATACATTTAAAGCCTTATACTCATAAGGAGAACTCGCGCGTTGCTCGTCCCGGATTTTGATGGAACTTGGCACAATGGTAGATTTGATGCCCAAACTAACCGTGGTAAAATATTAGAGGCCTATGAAAAGCGGTTTAATTATGAAAATTAATTAAAGTTTGCATTTTAGCAACGCCCGTCATGCATAGCTTGCAATGCTATTCCTTAACAATAGCAGATTGGCCGAGTGGCTATCGTCATGGAATTCTAAGTTTTGCTCCGGGGTTCAATTTCCAATTCAGATATAATATTTTTTTATTATTTTTGTTTGATATTTATAATTTCACGTGTAAATAATATTAACATTTATTTGAATTTTCGATTAATTTTATATTTTTCGCTAAATATTCCATAATAAAGTCCTCCGTAACTCCTGTAAATTTTTATTTTGATATTACTCATAAAACCTACGATCATATAAATGTTAAGTGATTCCTGAAGCATTATAATTTTGTATTAATAACAGCAATAATACGGAAGAAGAGATATAATTTATTTCCAAATTTAGCCAAATTTCCAAACTATGTTCAAATTTACTATTATGAGGATGATACTTTGTACGTTTGACCAGACCAAGAATCTAATATTAATAAAAAATATTCTTTTTGACATATGGCTTGAAAACGTTATTAATAAAATTTATACACTGCAGTTTTTATGTTTTTCTTATTTTACGATAAGTACAAACCCCACACTTGTAAATTTGAACATAGTTTTTATATGGAAATAAATTATATCTCTTCTTCCGTATTATTGCTGTTATTAATACAAAATTATGTTTCAGGAATCACTTAACATTTATATGATCGTAGGTTTTATAAGTAATATCAAAATAAAAATTTACAGGAGTTACGGAGGACTTTATTATGGAATATTTAGCAAAAAATATAAAATTAATCGAAAACTCAAATAAATGTTAATATTATTTACACGTGAAATTATAAATATCAAACAAAAATAATAAAAAAATATTATATCTGAATTGGGAATTGAACCGCGGAGCAAAAATTAGAAATTATCATTACAATTGAAAAATTTTCATTCGAATAGTTTCTCAAACCTTTTCTTCTGGGATGCCATGGTTGACCAGAAGAGCCAAACCTTTCTGCGAGAGCGCCTTCTGCAACTGCGCCCCTACGCGCATTATCACCGATTTCATTGGACACGCATCGGTACCTACAAAAGAAACCATTAGATAAATAATTATTAATATTAATAGTAATATATAATAGTATTGTTAGCAAATATTATTGAATGGTTTTAAAGACAATTGCTGTTACTTCCAGTTTAATTAATTATTAATAGTAATATTAAGATGGCGATAATAATAATAACTAAATAAAATTTTAGATGATGCGCAAATTACGCAAATTATTTTCATTTTAATTTTAAAACTTTTTCAAAATTCTCAATAAATTAGGAAAATTTTACATTCGCCTGGACCTGCCTTTCTCAAAAACTAATCATTTCTTCATACAGTTAACACAAGCAAAATGTTTTTCCAATTATTCTAATCGGTTATCAGTTCTTGCGCCGTACCTCCGAAACGGCTAGATCTACCTTTCGCAAAAACTAACCAGTACGTCTCGCGGTCAGTACAAAGCGAATGTTTTTTTGAATCACTCAAGCCGACTGATTCACGTCAAAAACATTTGTTTCACGTATCAGTTTGACTTTAACTAGTGGTGCATGACATTGTGTCTTAAGGCAAGTTGCTTGAACTTCCCACATCGTAATTAAATATTCGAGAAATTTCAAATGTTAAACTAATCAGCACGTCTCCCCATAAGTATTACCATAAGGAATGGTTTTTTTTTTTGAATAATTCAAATTGGTTGATCCGTGCGCCCGAAATCATTGACGAAAACTTGTATCCAACAATACACACAAGCGCGCAGACACACGCACATACACACATCCATTTTTTAAGTAAAATATTTGATATAAATCAGAAGGCGTGGAAAAATATAACGGAAGGCGGAACTCGGACCATTGCAGTGATTTGTCGAATTATGCTGAAGAAATTTTTTTTTCAACATGGCCCTGGAGAGTTGTTATGAAGTTTTCTGGCAAGCAAGTTTTGGCGATCAGATAGACAGTTTTTATATTTGTTTGAGAAAGCAATTATTTCATCCTTATCTGTGCGTATCTGTGCTTTGTGTATTAACCAATTGGGAACATACTTTGGTGCTTTCAAAATTTCCTTTAATAATTCGCAAAACATTGAATATAATAAAAAATAATTTATAAAATTGATAGAAACGCTCAATCATAATCAAATATTATTATTAACTTCTCGAAGGAGAAATTTATGTTTTCATAAAAAAATCCGATTCGCTCATTTTTATGTTTTCTCGGCGTTTCAAGCCATTCTGAATCGAATGAGACCAAATTTGGAAAAAGTATGTGTGTGTGTGTGTGCGAACAGATTTTTCACCGTAATTTAAAAGCCATTCGATGTATCTCGATGAGGACTATCGTTTCTCAGTTTTGCGCTACGATCGGCCGAAACGTTTCTTTGTAAATCGCAGAAAAGTGAAAAATTTTTCGTCCACGTTTTAGCCTGCAATTCAAAATCGATTTTAAAAATTCAAAAACCGTTCGAAAGATATTGGTTGAGGATCGTGCTGAATAGTTTTTGGTAAAGATCGGCCAGTAGATACCATTGTTTTACAGATCATACTAAAATATTTCGGCCCTACGACAACTAGTTTAACTTTAAAAATTCGTCAAAGTTTGCAAAAATTAGTATCGTTTTTTAGCATTTGTCTAAATTAGACCTTCGATCGACGTTTTCTCAAAAACTCCTGAACCGATTTTAAAAATTTTAGCAATTTAAAAGCCATTTGATGTATTTCAGTGAGGACTATAGTTTGTCAGTTTGTGCGATAATCTGCCGAGCCGTTGAAAAAAAGTGTAAAACTCTTCGTCCACATTTAAGCTCATACTACCAAATCCATTTTGAAAATCAAAACTTTTAAAGGTGAAAATCTATCAAGTCGTTGTCTTGAAATTGACTGTTGAAAAAAAATTAAGCCGATTTTTATGGAACTTTTTTTGACGATATGTATCATAGTCTTACAGAACTTACTGAAATATTACGGCCTCACTACAAGTAGTTTAATTTTAAAAATTCTTCAAAGTTTGAGAAAATGAGTAATTTTTTTGACGTTTGTTAAATTTAAAATCAGACGATTTACTTGGTATAACAATAGAGTATTTGGTCTTAATAAAAATAAACCATCAAAAGTCCTAAATTTGCTTTTAAAAAATACTCTGAGTTAATGTGTTTTCGTTTTCAATTATGAATAATAAATCCACTCGGAATACTTTTAATCACCTATAAATTAATTTACTTTTTATTGATTAAGTCGATTCTTTACACATATTGGGAAGTTCATGTAACTTGCCTCAAGGCAAAATACCAATACCAACTAGTTTATTTTTCAATTCAACATGTAGTCCAGTCATTTGGTGCAAAAAAAGGCTGTTGCCGGTACAGTACTCCGAGAATTCTGAAAATTGGAGATCTTATAGATTTCGAGGTGCTCTTTACGAAAATCAACTTTGCCACCTCAAATTTGAACGGCAAGTTGCCGCCATATTGGAAAAATGGCGTCAAAAAACAGCTTTTTTAAAATATCTCCTTTTTGGCTCATTCTAAGATAAAAGTATCTATGTACCAATTAAACTAGATAAAATTTCCTACAATTCTTTAGAAAACCGTTTTTTTGTAAAATTGATAGTTTGAGAGTACGGCCGCCTCAAAGTCTTTGCTGCTCCCGCCGTAGTATCAAATCTCTCCATATATGACAGCACTTTGAACTTGACCATATTCTTTCTAATAAATAAATATTTTCAATGTTAAATTAAGCGAATAAGATCTAGAAATAAAATAATTCAAATATTTTTCAGTCTTTTTGCTGATTTTTTAACACTTCAATGGCAAGGTAGCTATACCCGAGTGGAAATTTGTTACGGCAAGCCCTAACTCAGGTCCGGCCCCTATAGGCCCCTATAAGGCTCTACTCCGGCGTCCGTATTACGGAATTTAGTGCATGGCCCTCATAGGGGCCATATATGGGCGGCCCTAATATGGTAATTTGAATAGGGTCCATAAAAGGCATGCCTGAATTCAGCCCTAACACGGATTGCCCTATAATAATTGAAACGGGCCATATTCGGATGCCCTATTGTACCCCTAATACGTATTGCCCATAATATGATGATACGGTCCGTATTGGAAATTCATTATTAGAGCCCTAATACGGCTTACCCACAGATTATTTAGACAAGCCCTATCTGCATTCTTTATTTGAATCCTACTAGGATTCAATATCAATAGAATCAAAATAGTTTGATTTATTAATATTTTGTAAAAAAAAGGATTATAATGTGTATTATTGATCAATGATTGTCGTTAAAGCCTAAAATAAATATAGAAATAAATTATATAATTAATAATAAAGAAATAATAAATAATAAACAATAAATGAATTATAAAAAATAACTATTAATAAATAATAACAATATGTAATCGGTAACAATATATTTCTTCGTTCTTTCCATAATCTGCATGATACCGTATTCATTATTATCAATATATTATAAATATAATATACAAATTTACGAAAGCTTTATACAACTATGAACAAAAAATCCAATGGCAATACAAAACCAAAAAGTGTTTTTTTTTTAATAAAATTAATAAAATCATGAAAGATAGGAAATTACATAAAATTTATTAACAATAAAAATAATTATTGAATCGATTATATAACAAGATATTAAAATTATAGCGAATACAATAAAATAATTTTTTAATAAAAATAATACTTTTTGTGATTAGAAGTTATTAGGTATATTACTATTTTTCGATTTTGTCATGTGAGACATATATATATATATATATATATATATATATATATATATATATATATATAAATTTTTATGGGTCGTCGAATAAAAAAATTAATGTACTATAAGTTATGATCAATTTATTAATAATAGTAGTAGTTTCCTCACTGAAATTATATATATATATATATATATATATATATATATATATATATATAATAATCATATCTAATGTAATAAGTAGAAATAATAAGATCAATTCTGCGTACGTGAACTGTTTGCATAAGATATAGGACCTTCTTAGAAAATTCGTCCAGCACACATATATCGTATTTATTCATTTTAGAGTCTAGACTATACATGAATATTAACTCATATCGAGTATCGAAAGTGTAACAATCAGAAACAGGATCGATGACCTTTTTCTTATGCGTACTTGGTCTATCTAAAGCATAGGACCTTGACATAGGACAAGTAGAAAAACTGAAATAAATTTACATAATTTTACTTCAATAATAAATATCAAAAGTTTTACATTTCATTTTAACATATTCTAAATACTGCTAAACATTAACATCGAATGAAATAGAGTGGGCAAGAGTAAGAAAGATCGGCGCTATGTCACACGTTAACTTTATAGATGCCGGCGTACAGCAGATTGTGAACAATATACATTTATGATTGCTCATATAGTACGAATAGGCAACAAACATTTTGTCAAATATTATTTCGAACAATTTTTTATGTGGACAGAAATACTGATATTAGTTCAAATAGATCTAATATTGAAGTTCTACGTAAAAAAATTAATAGAACATTAATTTTTTTATTCGACGACCCATAAAAATTTATATATATATATATATATATACACAAATCCAAGACTCTACCATTCAATATATATATATATATATATATATATATATATAAGTATATATTGAATGCAGAGAAAGAGATCATCATCGCGCCGTTGCATATCATATTATATAAACCATTGATTGATAATATGGAATACGATCGAGGCACCAATACATGTATGTAAGAACTTCATCTTCTATCAAAGAGGACCATTGTTAGTTTTTTAGTTCATTACTGAATGCCAAGCTAAGCGGTCGTTATGTGTTTAATAGGAAGTGCGAAAATTACGAAATATTATTACGATATATTTTTATTTGTTTTAAAAGAACGTCGTGTAATTATCGTTTAATAATCAGTGGAAAAGTAGTGTATTGTGTTGTTTTATTTCTCAATGATACAAGTGAAAATAGAGTATCGATGTAGTGCCGGTGGATTGGTTGATATATAATGAAGGATAAGAT